ATCGATGTTATTGATTTAATCATATATTAAAATCTAAATTTTGAGAAAAGTTGGCTTCTTTCAGGAACTGCTATTGTTTTGTCAGTGCTGGCTTGTAGGTGCCGAGATCTATCTTCTGTTGCCTGCTCAAGCCGCATCTTGTTTCTAAGTCTTGAGACCGTCTACGCAGTCTGTCAGACTAAGTTTCACTGTCAGAAGTCTTCCGCAGCTGGCAGATGGGTTGTTCTTCATTTCTTTACATGTATGAAGAAGTCATTCTTGCAGGCCTATTCTTAGTCGGGTTATGCACACTTGTCTCTCGTGAGGGTAGCTGACATTTGGTTGACATTACTGATATTTTGTTTAATAGGGTAGTTCGTGTGAAGACTGATTCCACGTTGGCTGCCATTCTGTGCGATGCACTTCGAGACAGCATTTCTTGCATCCTGAGGTCGTATTTCAATATCCATTTCTGATTGGATGTTTCCCGGCATTTCGTGGCTGCAGAATCGGCTTCTTCAATTGCCTAGGATACCCACTACGTGTGCCAGGGCACCAAGATGAACGTAACTGATGCTCCTGCGCTGCTCTAATTTAATGCATGCTATGAGAATCATATTTGTAGCAGTGGACTACAGTTGGCGCCTGTCTATTGCAGTGAAAATACTTAGGAGTTCTGTTGCAGATGACGAACTTCCTGGAATAGAGAGTTTCACAGTGTCGCAAGATTGCAATTACTGCATGTATAATTCGGCAGTGTACACACTGCTTCAGGCTGGAAGTGCCCAAGCCCTCGACAAGTTCTCAGTTACAAATGCGCTTCCGACCTGATGTTTTGTTTTTGAACATGGTGTCAGCGTTATGAATGTATTTTGTCATGTATTCTTCGAGAACTGATTCGAAATCTGACTTTAAAATACAATGGGGAGGCATTTCTGATTTTCTTTATACTGGTAGCATCGAGTCTTACACTTCTGGCATTTTCATACATCCAAACCTCGGATTTCATATGGTTCGTGTTTCAGAACTGTGGTAGGAACGATGTTGTAGCAGCTTGGCTATCTTGATTGCGCGGCTGTTGGCTGGACGAGTAGCTGAAGTCTTTGATAGAGTATTTACTAGCTTAGGTATCGAGTCATCAAAGTGAACATTTGAAATGTTTCGGAGAGTCCAGCAATTTTGATTTATAATTCAGTAGCATTGTTGTTGTCGTGACTGTGATGTAGCGACGATGTGTGCTGGTTTCAAGTAGAGGCTTGAGGAAGACTAGTGCGGAGCGCGCAGATGCATATTCGGAGACCTGCATTGTGAACGGGGTCTAATGTTTCCTGTGAGACTTGATTTTTCCTGGCTGAGGAGTAACCTGCACATCGCATTAATCCTATTGGAATCACCAATGGATTTGTACAGGCGATGTAAGATGTCCTCTATCTGCTCCCCAATTTATATGGGAAATGCATCTTAATTACATTCAGAGCTCGTTTTGCATCTACGCAAGGTATACCTTCTATCTGCTGTTTCCATGTTAAATGCCTATCAAAAATCAAGCCAAGGAATATTTGCCGTTTCATATGTATGCCAGTTTGAAACACCATTCAGGTCAGCTAAGGCTCTTCTGTTACTTTTCTTTTCCGCTGAAGTGAACGCAATTCGTTTTTGGTCTGCCTGTAATGAGAAACAATGTTTTTTTGCGTTCTGTACTAAATTTATTGATGGCAATTTTGCATTTTTGAATTTGACCATTCCCAGTGATTTGGGCTGAGTAAAATATAGCAATGTCACTATCTACATAATGCTTTTCCTATTGACGCTTCTATGCGTCAAACTTACCCGTTAATCGCTATGATAAAGAGCGTGCACTCAATGGAAGCCTCTCGCGGGTACACCGTTCTCTAGTACGTGGCTTTGCTGAGATAGACTGCGAACGCGAACTTTGGAAAGATCTTGGTAGAGCTAAGGAAGCTGGATATGAATTTTGTAGCTATCCTGCGTTATTTGCCAGTTATAATAGCTGTCTCGCAGATGTTATGTCGCGGGCGATGATTTGTTTAAGATCCTTTGCCTGCCTTTAAAATTGGAATTGATTATCGCTTCCTTTCCAGACTTTGGGTAATTACTTGTTGTGTCCAAAATGTTATTGTATCTTATTTAGGCAAAGTGGACAGTACATTTTCTGCGTAACTGCACGTGAGTATGCTGTTAAGGGATATTGTCTGATCCTGCTGCGGTGTCCTCCAGCTCATACTTATGGCGTCTTTGCAATTCTCGCTCCATATGAAAAGAGCGTTATATGGCTTAATCTATATTGGGTTGGTAAGGTCAAGGTAAATTGCGTTCTTCTTTCTTTTTGTCGGAGAAAAGTCTTTACGGATACTCTTGTGTCACTGGCTTTGGAGTATTGGGGGTCGCTAATTGCATTGGCATTTCGTCAGGGTTGCATATTAGTTGTCGCTCGTGTTCAACTGCTGTTATTGGGCAGCTGGAAAACATTTTTCCCATCTATTGACGGATTTCCTGCCATATTTCGTGACTATGAGAGTCCGAGTTATGGTTTGTTAACGTACTTTTCCCAGCTTGCGTTTTGCTGTTTAGTATTTTTTCTGCCGAGCGAGCGACGCAGACGCTTGAAAGCAATAAAGATTGTCTCTGGGTTGGTGCAGTCTCTATCTACGTTGAGGGCTTTTGCGTTTCTCCCTTATTGCTCTTTGGTCTCACGTAAAATTCCACATGGTACGGGAATCCTGATGAGCGCCACTAGTCTGTGGAATGTTTTTACAGCGGAAGATAAGACAGTTGTTGGTGAAATCGGTAACGTCTCTCTGAGTTTCACTGACATTTATTGTGGTATATGTTCTGGTAAGCTGGATTCAGTTCTGCGCAGTTGGACAACAACGTTTTTGGTAAGTGTCACGCTGTGTTCTTTGCATGTTTGATGATACAAAGAGGAAAGTGAATCACTCTGATGAAGATCTGGCAGTGGGTTTCCCACGTTCAGCCTAGTTGGCAAGATTTGGGACTACATGACTTGAGAGATCTATTGGCTGAGAATGAGCCATTTCTCAGGATTAAAATGAGTGCTTGCTCCTGTGTTTAAAAGTACGTATTCGTTGTAAGTAGCAAGTCATCGGATTTCTGCGAACCGCGGAGTCATTTGTCTAGGACAGCCCATGTACTGTGAGCATTGAAGTCTCCTAGGAAATAGAAATGGAGTCTGTAAGTTTGGATCGATCGGTCTTGTTAGATCTTCATTTCGCGCATGCAGCATCGGGTAAGGTATACGATGCAAATACCGTCATCGGTCAAGTGGCTTGATGTGGGTAAGTACTGCCTTGTAGAGGTGTGTCGAGATCAAGACGGACTTCAGCAGGATGAGTATTGCTGATCCAAATCTGGCAACACACCTGTAGCTCGTTATCAGGTTCTACCGTCGAACTGCCGAAAGATTTATTATCCTCTAAATTTGAAACGGTCTTTCTGGTTTAAAATGATGTTTCTTTGTGAGCAATACACACATTGAGTTGATGTGATTGACCAGTAGCGCAAATTTTCAGCTCCACAGGTAATGCGAGAATACAGCCGTTTATATTCCACTGAATTATGGTTTCCATGGATTGGAATGGGGTGCCTGGCTGTAGACATAACGTAGACTTTTGTTTATTTCTTGGAGTTTTCCTTTTGGCCATCCTTTCTTCTTTCTCTTCTTACGCGGGTTTTGCATAGATTCGCTGGATTGATAATCATTATTTTCCTGCACTTACATCAAACTTGTCTCAGAAGTCCAGTGGTTGTATCTTGGATCATTGGTCCATTGATTCCCTTTTTTGTGTTATGAGGAAGTGTCCTCCGTGTTCTAGGAGAACGAGCGATCGACTTCCACGATAGCCTGTTTGTCGATACTTCTTTAGCTGGGTATGGCTGCGTAGGCGCAGCTACTGGGTTACTTTCTGCCTCATTTTGGGTGGGGGTCTGTATATATATATGATTCTTTTCCATTTTACTATTTC